GAACTCTCTAAAAAACACATACATGCTCATAAACACTCTGTTCTCTATCGGACTCTAACAAACATATCCCTTCTTGGTAGCAAAATAAACCATGAAAACACACTTCATAGCTCTAAGATCTAGTTTCCCTACTAATGGTTTGTTGTCTTTCACAAAACATACAAAGCCAAAAACCTTCAATAGGAGGTCTCTCTATTATCTCCCTCCAACATTTGAGAATAAGACTTCCAATCCAACACTCTCAAGGGCATTCTCTTGATTAATTAAGCCGATGTCAAAATTCTTTGGCCCTACAAGTGCTTTGGGACATTCACCATGGTCATCATGTTTCGAGATACCTCTAGAAGGTGCCTATTCTTCCTTTATATTATTTTATTTTGTGTCGGTGTGTACGAACATGTGGCTTGATGTTGTATCATTGGGCTGACTAATATTCCCCAAGCGCCTTGTTGGTATACTCTGTCTCATTATCAGACCTCGATACTTTCATGACTGCACCGTATTGAGTCTGAATCATCCTGCGAAAGTTTAAAGCAAGCAAGCACATCACTTTTGTTTATCATCAAATATAACCAAGTAACACGAGAAAAGCAATTAATAAAAATCGCAAATTATATGTAATCATTCATAGAAGTTGTAGAACAAGATCTCATACATCTGAGTGCACCAAATCAAAAACATAAGTACTCCTTTTACCAGAACTAATAAAAGAGCTTTTGATATGTTTACCAAACTCACAAGCATTACACACAAGTTTTTGTTTATTTGTCTTTTCATACAATGATGGATATAAACGATTCAATAGACTAAACGAAGAGTGTCCAATGCGTATGTGATTTAGCAATAAAGCATCCTTTACACTCCTCTCAGATCCTCCTACCCAAGCATTCTCAACCATGGATGTCAAGATTGAGTTTATCCCCTCTCTATACAAATACCAAAGTCTACTATATCACGTATCAGTCCCAAGTCTTCGGCCAGTCCCCTTCTTTTGAAAGATCGCCTTTGAAATATTAAATGAAACAACACATTTTAGTTGGAGTATAATGACACTAATGGATAAAAGATTCACTGGAAATGAATGAGCAAGAAAAATATTAGACAAAATCATATAATAGGTACACCTCACTATACCCTTACCAAAAACATGAAGTGGTATATCATCAGCGGTTTGAATGTTATCTGGAACTCTTAGGTGAGTATAAGAAGAGAACTCATAGCAGAACCTGTCATATATTGAGATGCACCAGAATTTACTATCCACTCTGTTGATTTTGTGGTGAAAATAGAGACAAAAGCATGTATATCACGAGTATATTTCGCTGAATGAGCATAACTAGCAGTGTTACCCTTGGATGACGATAAGATGGATGTATCCTCAATCAAATTATTTGTCGCTCTCTGCTTCCTCTTCATCATCTCCAGTAACTTGTGATCCTCATCATTAAAAACTACCATTGTCTTTCTCTCGCTCTTTGCTACCATCAAATTGGTCTGGTAGCCTCCTCTTCCACCCTTTGGGCCCACGATTACGATCACGGCCTCTAGACTGTTCAGATCCACCCGTCTCTCTCTCCTTGGTTGGCTTTGGACAAACCATGTTCAAGTGTCTCACTTCTCCACAGTTGTAGCACCTACAGGTCTCCCCTACGCACCTGTCACACCTGAGCTCGATGTAGCCAAAGCTAATCATGTGCCTGGAAGTCCACTCGGCTCAGAGTATAGCCTCATGTGACTCTCCTCTAGTATCATGAATATAATTATTCTTCAACCTTCTTTGGTCTATCACGTATGTAAAACCAAATTTCTCTCCTTCACTACTACTACTTTCGTTTAGAAGCAACAACAGGGTCACGACATACATAGATCTTTAAAACCCCCTTGTGGTTTCACCGCAAAAACGTCAATCGGGCTTCTCTTTTCACGCAAGCACTATTCACGCCTCTATTGTCCGTGAACATCTTTCGCTCCTCCAAGCCTCACATTGTGTTTTTCTCTACAATCAACACCAAAGCCCTTTACTTTGTCTGCATCTCTTCCCTGTGTCGCACAAGTCTAATCCTGCTTCACTAGCCTCGGTCTTGACTAGCAAGGAAGGCAGTGATTGAATCCCAAAGCACAAAGACCTTCGAAATTCAGCCGTAGGCCACGCCTAACCAACCACGTGGTTAGGAGTCCCAAATCTCACAAATCAACTTGAACTCTTCACGGGTGAATACAAAACCTTCACACCTTTTCACTACTATTTTCCGCTGCCCAAGAATAAAGCACAACACACAAGTAATTTCCTTTTTCCAAGGTCAAAGGACTCAGTATTTTCCTCACCTTGAGGATAAGTATCACTCCATCACAACATAATAAGAATGAAAAAAAAATACAAAGATTATCACTCACAAATAATTACACTTTTTCGCAGATAATTTCTAATCAAGTTAAAGTGATAGATAGATAATGCTTTTGGGTAATTGAATAAAAATAACATTTTTAAGATATGATGACTTGATATGTAGAGAATTTTAGGGATTGTTTAGCATATGCGTTTAAAGTTTGAACCAAAATTTGAAAGTTAAACTTTGAATTTTAAATTTAAAAAGCAGAATTTTGAGGACATTTATTTGGAAAATTCAAATTCAAATTTGAAGAATGGAATTAAATTATGAATTCTGAATTCGCATAGATATTTTTAAAAAGGAAATTAAAAGTTTGTTGGGATTTAGAGGTTTTTCTATTCTTATTTTTATACGAAAGTGGGGAATTTGATGTGATGGAACTGCATTAAAATTGTGCTTTATCCTCAATTCAAAGCAATATCAGTTGAACCTCGTACTTAAGCTATAGTTTAATCATATATAAAGAGATGGGGATAAAACAATAAGGAGATATTAGTAAAGTACGATGTTGATGTAATAACACAAAAAATAATAATAATAATAATAATAAATAAATAGGAGTCGGTGGTTAAAAGAGATGCACCTTCTCGTAAGGGACTTATTTCATGTTGTTTGATGCTCCCCCTTATTCGAATAAAAAAATCAAAGAAATCAAGAGAGGGAAAGATTGTTCGTGCCCTAGCCAGGGAAGCAGAAGAAGTAGAAGGAAGAAGGTTCGTGCGGTTTTCCTCGTCGTGCGATACTTACTCGAGCGACGACGAAGAGGAAGGAAGGAGGATCGACTTCATGTGCAGCTACCGTTCTCGCGTGCGGTGGAAGACTAGGTTGACTGAGAAGAAGAAAATGTGTGCGAGCGGCTCTGGATCGAACCGAGAGCCGAAAATCGTGCCCTGCTGTGAAGTTTAGCATGTGAGTCGCGGACAAAGGAGCAGAGGTAGGCAAGTCGAAGCCCCTGCGTTCCTCGAATGCGAGAAGAAGAGGGAAGAGAAATGTGGATGTTGCTCTGTGTCAAAGGAGAGAGGGAAGAAAAATGGTAAAAGTGCGTCTTCAGTGCAAATTGAGGGTACCTTCAGGTATACATTTTAGATCTTCAGTGCAAATTGAGGGTACCTTCAGGTATACAATTTAGAGTACATTCGGGTACATTTTTTAGGGTATCTTCGGACACCATTTTTTTATAATACCTCTGAGCATAGCGATAATCCTGTTATTATTTTTAAAAATATTAAAAATGATAAATATTTAAAATAAAAAGGAAGAGATAAATTTAAAATTTTAATGAAATGAACGGCATTTTCTTTTCATCATTCATGCATAGCATAGCAAAAGAAATTAATGCATAGTAGATTATAATTGCTCACTAAGTCATACTTACGGTTGCAATTAATATTTTATTTTAGGAGAAGGAAATTATTAAGTTGATATGTGTCTGGTGGGAAAGACTTGATTTACAAAAGTATTACAGTTGATAGGTACTAGCATGATGTTTGTAATTTCTTTTTGTACTATTTCTTTTAGATAAACATATATGATTATGTTGATTAAGATTTTACTTGCAGATTTTCTATTAATGTTGGATGACCTTATTATACTTGTGGATTATTAACAGCTCTTTTATATATATTGAAAGTTTTAAAAATGTGGATAATTAGTTAGATTTTAATACTGTTTGACCGCAGTACCCGCCTTAGTTAATTCTAAGTATCGGGTCGGGTCGTGACAGTTGATGCATGTTTGGGTAGCCAACTATGTTTACTTTATTGGAGGGATGAGGAGGGAATCAACAAAGATTATATTATAAACTCAACCCAGAAAGATAGTTTCACGTCATTCCAAGGGAACCAAGGAGCAAGACATCTTGGGGACAATCTAGGAAGTTTATAGTTAAAGGTGTAGTCTGTCACTGAAACAACAAAATTTAGGGCAAAAACAGCAGCAAAACATTGACTAGGAGGTGGAAATTTCAAGAAAAAGTAAGAACAAAATAAATAATCAAAACAAAGTACAATAAAACAATGAAAAAACAACACATACGTCATTCTAGTCCTGCTATGATACTAAATTTACAAAGCGAAGCAGATGATTTTAAGTAAAGAGGATGGATGGCATAAATATAGTATAGAGGGAAGAAGATTAGAAACAAGAAACGGGCCATCTCAAAAAGCTCTCTAACACTTTTAGAGGATGAACGAGAGCATAACATAACTTGCCAAAAATCTCTAAAGGGTAACAACAATAATTTATTTCATTAAGCCATAAAAGAGAGATACAAGAGCTAGTTTTAGGAATAGCATGACCAAAGCAATGTCATAACAGCACTTAAGCTTCTAAAAGAAAAAACCAAGTTTAATTCAAAGAAAGAGAGACATCTAAAAGTAATGATTAACCATCAGTCTACTATCTAATGGGACATTGACAGTAATAATGAACAGCTCGATAGTATCCATAAGGGAATGAGTGGTACAGTTTCTGATTAAGAGAAGTCAGAAAGTGTGGCATTTTGCAATGAAGAAATTTCACTCCATGCACTGCGAGGCGACTAGCTAAATAAGATTTTCATTTAAGAATTTACATTAATAGAGCCAGTAAATAACAGTGAAGAGTACTGACCTCGGAACAAGAAAGACTGGATGCAGAAAAGAAATATTCCCTTGCTACTTGAACAACTAGAATTTCAGCCTTCTCGGTTGCTAATGAGATAGCAACTGTTCCTTTGAGATAATTCCTCGCAAGACTAAATTTACCAGCTTTCAAAAGGCCTCTGCAAAATTCAATTAGCATGTACTCTGTATCTAGAAAAGAAAATGCCTTTTCCTTGAAACATTGTATATCCTGCCACATGTTGGCCCATTCACTATCTGATCTACCAGGTTGCCTCCGTCCAAATTTTGACAAAATGAGACGAAGAAGCTGCTTTACATTCTTCTCCTCTGATTCAGCACTGAGGAAAAAGCTGATTGGTTTTGCCACCTAAAAAAGAAATGAATTTCATTATTTTGAATAACCACGTTATGTAATCAAGAAATGTTAATGGTGAAATATAGCATAGTCAGATCAAAACCTTAATCATTTAATTTGACTGAAAAAAATGAACATCTAGGAAAACATAAAACTTGGTAGCGCATCAAAACAAGTAGACCCACACCCATTGACAGATAAAAACCAAATAAATGTGAAATATTTTTAACATAAAAACATCCATGCATAGCAAGTCGCAACAGACAACATCACTAACAATATGCATGAATAATAATTCAAGAATACTCGAGAAATGTACTAAAGGGGAAGCAACAAAGCTAGTACCAAGCAGATGAACCAGCTTATTTGGATTGGACAAGGAACTTCGCCATTAAAAACAAAATAACCAAGTTTAGGACTAGCATAAATAGCAAAACTCGTTCAACTGGCATCTTTCTTTTTTCAAATTTGTCTATTTATACCAACTGCTAACTTCAGCTTGTCTAAGGTCAACTATATAGCTTTGGGCTACTAACATGTTATGCATATTAGAAGTCCCAAGCTTATAAAGGATATAAGCTTGTGTTTCCATTAAAGAATCCATGCAAGGCTTGGACAAAATGCATATTAGAAGTCCAAAGCTTGTACAGGAAAGGCTTGTGTTTCTATTAAAGAAACCATGCCAAGCTGGGACAGAAGTTTCCAGCTTCTCCATCTTGGTTGGACTAAAGATTAAAGCACATAAAACTCCAAGCTTAACTTGCCATTTATTTGTATTTAACTGTGAGATTAAGTTTGCAATACGTATATGAAACAGCAGTCATAATATTGTGGTTCAAAGACTTAAAATTAATAACTTGCAACATTCAGAAAGAATCATGACAAAGTCTTCAGAATGTTCACAATTGTTTAATTATGTTTTAAAATATTTAACATCTCATAAGGAAGTTTAAAGGTTAACTAAAGATCACAAGAATATTGTTGTGAAAAACGACGACAATAAAGAGAAAAATGGCACACAGAAAACCAAAAAAGAAAACCCCCAGAGCGACACACAGATTTACACGGTTCGGCAAATTTGCCTACATCCACGGAGCTGCTGAAGAATTTATTTCTTCGAAGAAATACACCGTCAAGCGTCTCGACGTTTACAAGAAAATCTCTATTTTCTTCTCTCCCTTCCTCTCTCTCTCTCCCCCTCTTTCTCTCTTAGAGGACTTAACTTGGGTGTAGTAAGTGAGCGGTAGGTGGGCAGAGTAAGTGAGCGGTAGGTGGGAAAGCTAATTAAATTACGGTGGATTAGGTCTCCACATTACCCAACAATTATCTCACTTAGAGACTGAAACACAGACTGCATCACCAACTGGCTGCATCATCTACTAGTTGTACCGATCTTTTCCTCAAACATAATATATTCTACCTCTGCAAATCAAATTCTCTGTCTTCATGTCAGAAGATCAGGTTGCAGCTTCTCGCGAGTACCGCCCTCAGTTGACATATCTCCAGCAACGTAGTCTTGTACCACCAAGCTCTTTCATAGGTTACTGTTGTATCTGCTTACAACTCTCACTGCATGAGCAAAATCCTGTCCCTACTGAAAGCCCTTTTCAACAAGTTCAGTTTTGTACCTCTTACTGCCACCAAGCGCAGTCATCACCTGGTACACTCACTTGTTGTGCAATGTTTTCTTCTTTGGTGGAAGTTCTGCCAGCTCCCAAGTCTGATTCTCTGGCAGGGAATCTATCTCCTCCTTTTTTGTCAGCTCCCAATTGCTCGAATTTTCATCTTGCAAGATTTCTATATAATTTTATGGTTCTCCACCATTTACAAGATCTGATTTTTCTGCCTTTGGCGCTCTGCCGCTTTTCAGGAAACTGATTTTCTTCTACTTCCCCATAATGCACCTCTGAATCATGTGTCCACGTCTGAGTAAACTTATAGTCATATATAGTGTGTCAGTTTTCTTACCCCGAAGCAGTATTAATGCTCCTTTGGTAACCTTCCAGTACTATCTGAAAACACTGTCGAATGACAATCCTCATTGAGCTGCTGAACAGATATGAGATTTTTTTTAAACTCAAGAACGTGTATGACCTTTTGCAAAGTCCATTTGCTCTTGATAGGAAGTGCAATATCAATGTCTCTCATCTCCACCACGTCCAGAGCTTTTCCATCAGCCAGATATATCTTCACAAAGTTACCTGCAAAATAATATCGCATTAACTCCCGGTGGAAAGATGTACGGAAAGAAACTCCTGAATCAAGTATTCAGCCATCAACAGAACTGTGTCAGCAATAGCTCATCTTGTATCTCTTCAGTTACAACATTCGTGCTATCATTCTCCTTTTTAGGATTCCTGCAGTTCTTTTATATGTGGTCAGTCTTGCCACAATTCCAGCAGGTTGTCCGCTGACCAGACTTTGATTTTGATCTTCCGCTGTTTGAGTTCCTGTCTTGTGCTCTCCCTCTGGAATCAACAATCAGTACCGAACTCGAACCCGAGGTGTAGCCAGAATCTTTCCTACGCACCTCCTCGACAAAAATCAAATCACAAATATCATCATATTTCAGTTTAGATCTTCCTGCAGAACTGCTAACTGTCATCCTCATGACTTCACAGCTATTTGGCAATGAAACCAGCAATATCAGCGCACGTATATCATCATCAAAATCAATTTCAACAAAAGACAATTGATTTGTGATATTATTGAAATCATTCAAGTGTAGAGCAACAGACACATCTTCCGTCATCTTCAAGTTAAATAACTTTTTATCAAATACACATTGATATTCATCGATGGCTTTTCATACATATCTGATAAAGCCGTCATGAGATATTCAGTAGTCCTCTCTTTGATGACGTTGTGGGCAACCGATCTCGACAGGGTTATCTCGACAGTCGACAGGGTTAATCGTATAACCCCAGAACCTGTCGATCCAACAGATTCCATTTCGCCTCGTCCATCTTTTATGGTCGTTTTCCCAGTAACGGAAGATGAAGATTCTTTCCATAGAAGTAGTTTTCTATCTGCATCCTCCAGTAAACAAAATATGTACCATTGAACTTCTCGATCCCCGTTGTCATCACTTCATCTCCGTCTGGCATCAACTCATCGTTCTTTCTTGGATCCGAACCAAATCTCTTATACCAGTTGTTGTGAAAAACGACAACAATAAAGCGAAAAATGAAACGAGAAAATTGCACATAGAAAACACCAGAGCGACACAGATTTACGTGGTTTGACAAATTTGCCTACGTCCACAGAACTGCAGAGAAATTTATTTCTTCGAGTAATTACACCGTTCAGCGTCTCGACGTTTACAAGAAAATCTCTATTTTTTTATTTCCCTTCCTCTCTCCCTCTTTCTCTTTTAAAGGACTTGGCTCGGCTTTTGGCTTGGCCCTTGGCTTGGCTTATGACAAGCCATAAAAGGCTATTTATAGAAACAAGGAGAGCGGTATGTGGGAGGTAGGTGAGCGGTAGGTGGGTGTAGTAGGTGAGTGGTAGGTGGGAAGGTAGATGAGCGGTATGTGAGATTCTTAATTAGGAAGCTAATTAAATTGCGGTGGACTATGTCTCCACATTACCCAACAAATACGTATTAATGGATAAATCAAAGCCCTTTTTTGTTTGCTATTCTTTAGCATAATAATACCGACTTTAAATAAAAACATAATAGGTCAAAGCCAAAAAGCATTCGCAGAAATAATATTTCAAGAAGAGGCTGGCGTTGGGCCATAAATGATGGTCAGCAGCTCAACCGACAAATTTTGTTCTTGGGCCAAAAAGCAACACACAAAACAAAGATCCAAACTGTAGACTCGCCTGCAGAGGCCTAGGCCAAAATATGAAATCTTAGCGAAATCGGCAAAATAAATGAATTAACAATGATAGAACTACATTTTAAAGGATATAATTGTGTTGTTTTGAATAGCTATGTGACCATACTTTATACAAACAAATTTACTTTTTTAGGGTTTATTGTTAGACATACAAAGCTCAAAAGCTTTTGGTAATGATCAAGGCATCTTGGTTAGTTTTGAACTCTAAAAATATATAAAGTTTGAAACATAGCCTAGACAACGGTCATCTACTATCAAAAAACTTAAAAGCATATGCCAAGCTCAATTTCCCTGTTTAAGGTCAGACCAGGGCTTTATTTAATTTTTTTTCGAAGCAGGTGCATTTTGCATTACTTCAAAATTAAAAGCTACAAAAAAAAGTATACAAAAACTATGTCCTTTGGGCATCAAAAGTGTAGGCCCTATCCTGTTCAGGTAAATCAAAAAAATTCCCCTAAAATAAGTTTCGAATAAAGCAAAAAACTATCTCCTGCTTAGCACAAAAATGAACAAACTTATTACAAGAGTGAGCAACAAAAATAAACAAGACCTATTGAAAATCTAAAAGAAAAGAAATGTCCAGAGTATCGGTTGGGCGCCGATTCCAGGTATTTGCTTCAAGCTAGTCCTTAAGAACTCGATCACATTGTTGTTATTTTCGATAATAATGCCCTGCAACTCCAACATCCAAGGCTCAAGCCGATCTTTGAATGCAAGGACTACCTCAATCTCAACATGTGCAGTGTCCCAATTCTCTCAATGCCTTCATGTTGTCTTTAAATAGCAGCCCATATCGTCTCGAATCACTATGCCAAGGCCGTCGGCACATGACCTACCAGAGTTTTATGGTGTGAGAAGGGACGCATTTATTAGATAGTGCATAAAATTAGTGCTATTTCAATTAAAGTCATAAATCTGTTCAAAATAAGTTAGTATTCTAGTGTGGCCTACCACAGCAAAGCACAACACGCCCATTAATTAGATGCAACTTGAGCTTGTGTATGGGGTGGGGAGGAATGGAGAGGAGTGACTTAAATATAACTTAGCATTTACAACATGCAAAGAAGCTTTCCATTTTACAGAGGGAGAGATAAAAAAAGGAGAATGTGTGAATCATCTCTTAATTTTCTCTTCCACTCTAACAACATGTCAGTTTCATGTGCAAGG